ATAGCTGCAAATGAATGAATTTTTCGTTGTGCTGCAACAAAACATACTTATACTGGTAACAAAATAGAACTCGTACCTACTGAATTTTTTATTATATGGGATATAACGATTTCATAACAATTATCCAATATCTGTTCATAACTGTAATATATTTTATATTAAATATTTAACATTAAGTAACTATTACTAAATTATTTAATTGATGTTACTGTGAATGCAATTACGTCATATTCCCGATCTTTTAAATATTTGGTAATTATTATCATATTTAGTATTAGTTACTAAGGATTCAATGAATTTCTGTAACTAAATGCAGTTTGTTATAATTACCAGTCTTTTCTCTCAGTGTATAAGTACACGCGACATAAGTATATTATCGTCAAACATTCTATATTGGAGTGTATGATATTTTGAGATAGATAGTGAATAAATAACTCTCTCTGCTTTAACGGCGACAGCGACAGACAGACAAGCAGACAGACAAAGAGAGAGAGAGAGAGAGAGAGAGAGAGAGATGTGGGCAACGGACGCGTAGGAATAACGCAAATGAACGTATTAATAAACAGTAACGAATAAAGTTCGTTACGCGACATTTTCCCCGATTCGCGAGCGTTATTTCGCGTAAATAACACGCGTCCGACGATTTTGCAGAGTTTTACGCAATTACAAGAATAACCCCCACGCATACACTGCACACTGCACACGTCACCGAAAATGCGCCGCGCGTTACGCTGCAGTGAATGCAGTTTAACGATATTTTAATTAATGTTTGTTGTAATTAAATTAATAATTAAATCGGTACGCGGCCGAGCCGGTGCACGAAAATCTACGGACATTAAAACGTACACATCGGACAGATAACATTCCACCGGTAGTTAATTACGCGTGGCAATGATGCGTATTCCGGTTTCATTAAACGCGCTATCGCATTTAATCCGCGCGTTTTTGCCCCCGCGACCGTGCCCCGCCGGCATGGCAACTTCTATCTTGCCGGGGCTCACTTTTATATCATGCTAATGCGCATTACGAGATGTTACGCGCAAGTGAAGAGAGGAGAGCAGGCAGAATAAGAGAAGGAAAGACAGATAGAGAGAGAGAGAGAGAGAGAGAGAGAGAGAGAAAATTTTCAGCGCGGTTACAGCCCGACGAAACGCGCTTCTTCTTCTTTTCCTACTTTTTCTTCCACTTTTACTTCCATCGTCGCGAACCTCGTCGCCGCCGTCGCACGCTGACGCACACGCGCTGGCAACTTGCGAAGAAATTTTTGCGCCGGACGAGCGGCCGCGTCACTTGTAAAATGCAAAATGCATCGCATGCGCGCGCTTCCCCCGCGAACTTCAGCATCTGAAGCGGCCGGCTTGCGCCGGCCGCTCCTAAAGAGTTTCTTGCGCGCTGAAGTGCATCTGTTCGTCGCAACTCTCGCATTCCCTTCGCGTGATGATATTAACATCTTTCTTATCTTTGCATAGTTCTTAAGTATTTTCGTTGTTACCGATGAGCAGCGATCCTCTTAGCGGCTTGTTTTCGCAAAGCTGACGCGAAGTTATGACAATAGCTTTCCGTGACGACGCGCGTGATGTTTACAGCGTACACGCATTTGCGAAACGGCTCGAACAGATGTTTCCCGATGGAATTAGACAGATCTTAGCTGCGAGTTTGAAGTTAGCTATTGGCACATTTCTACAGAGTGTCCGGTAATTCACAGAAGAGCCGTGGTGTACAGGTAGATTAGATCAAACTGAATGAAAAATCCCATTTTGCGAACAACCACGTAAAATTCTAAGTTATTGATCAAAGATTCGTGAATGATTACGCGCCATACGGTAGATGAGCTGTGACGGCTTCTACTGTATGCTTATATATTAAGCAACTAGGTCCAACTGAACAAAAAATTTCTCCTCTCTTTCTCTCTCTCTCTCTGTCATTTTACAAATAACGTAAATATTACGCTATTATTAGTTATTAATTAAAGAATTTCGTGTACAGTTGTGCGCGTTAATGCATCCATCTTTTTTAATTTAGAAATGCACAACGTGTAAACATTCACGAATCTTCTTTGATTAACAACTCAAAATTTTACATGATTGTTCACAAAATAGTAGAGGAATTTTTTGTTCAGTTTGGCTTAATCTATCTGTACACTGCTGTTCCTCTGTGAGTTACCAGATATCCTGTATAGCCAAAGGTTGGACCACTCTTTTCCGACAAAATTAAGATCAAATGTTCGCAATTGTGAATCACTGCTTGCGTTTTTGCGTGTAATCGGTTATGACAGAAGCCGAAATAAGAAGGAAATATACGATGTAAATATTGGCCCTTTATTATACTCTTATCTGACAGATAAGAATATAATAACATACTTGGGTTTTTCTCCGTTAAATTCTCTGTTGTAGTTGTGATATAGGAGGTCATATATCTTGTCTCTTCGTCTCCTATCATAATGGGTTATCGCGCAGACTCGTAAGTAGTGACTCGTACTCGTGATTATTTAAGATAGTTGTGTTACGAAACGAGTTTCAAGAGAGTCTAATGAATCTTACACTATATACATAGCAAAATATTATTTAACTGCTCATGCAATTAAAAAAAAGATTAACTATTCGAGAGTTGAAATATTTACAACTAAAGTTGACATTTTTTTTATACGTGTTCCTTGAAATTAGCATATTTTTAATTTATTTCTGACTATATGTAAGATTTTAATAAAAAATTATTATTATATTAAATAATTATTATTATATTATTATGTATAATAATATACAGACGTTATGCAAAAATTTCATAATTATTGACCGTTTTATTTTCAAAATATAGCGATAGTAAGTTCATAATTTATAGTGATACTCGAAATACATATGTAGATATTTAAATATTTATACATCTCTCTTTATTATCTATATATCTCTATTAGAATAAATTGATACATAAATAAAGCATTCATTAAAAAAAAATAAAAAATAATAGTTTTACCGTATTTATAATTGTGTATATGTTACTCACATGTATATATATATTACAATACACCACTTGTGTATATTTTACAACATATTTATCTCAATTCCGTCTCAAATTAACTGTATTTAGATATGTAACTGTATTTAGATATGTATGCTTGAATAGTGAATAAATATAGAAAAACGTAATTTTATTTGTATAAATAGTAAATTCATAAATAATCCCTCTTAAGGGGACTGGAGGGTCAGATTGTCTGAAAATCGTGCTTGTTCTTTCACAATTTTTTATGACAAACTGAATGAATATATGAAAGTGTTATTTTGACGTATATTTATATAACATATAAAGAGGAGAAAAATATAATTTTGATGATCAAATACTCAATATAAGTGTATGATACATAAAGTAAAAATATATTTAAAATAAGTTAAAATGCAGTTAAAATATATTTCGTTTTTCTTTTCAAGATCGTTATTTTACAATAATATCTTGCCTCTCGGTGGTTCAGTTAAGCTGAATTTTCAGTAGAAAACTTCCGTAAGTTTGTCGTTATCGTGTGAACCACTGACAAACTTGTAAAAATATTTAATTTTAAAATATTAATTTTTTTACTATAAAAGAACTAAAAATTTAATAATATTCCATTAAGACATTTGCAATTTTGTTAACTTTTACTCAATTTCTATTATAGTCGTTCACACGATAACGACAAGCTTATGAAAATGTTACCTAAAATTCAGCTTATTTGAATCACCGAGAGTCAAGATATTACTGCAAAATGACGACCTTGACAAAAAACGAAATATATTTTAACTGCATGTACCATACACTTATATTGAGTATTTGATCATGAAAATTATAGAAGAAAGTAGCCAAAAGCGACATAGAGTCTCCTAAAGCGACATACTATTATATCTCATATATTAAATGTTGTATTTTATCGAAACTAATATAAATTCGTTTTATCAGTTAAGTCATGAAAAATTCATATGTAGTATATTTCTTGTTCTTTTATATGCTAAGTTAGCAAATATCGAGTTTTAGAAATTCGCAAGTTTTATTTCTATGATTTTTATTGACAAATTACGTAGAACAAATAGCGATAATAATCTTTTTGTTTAATATTAAATTATTCTACATGCATTTGTACAAATATTTTTGTACAAATATTTTCTACAAAGGCTTTTGTACAAATATTTTTTTAATATTTTTATCTTCATTATTTTTTACTGTATAACTTGAAAAATTTTATGAGAATGTGTCTTAAAGTGACATATCCCCTACAGTATGCGATAGATGCGATACTCTGTGACTAACATAACCTGATTCTAACCTGCCATTGTGACGTGACATTTGTTTATTTTAAAGTTTAATTCTGCTTAGTTTAAAAATATAACATATGTAAAATATGTGAGAAATGAAAAAGATGGAAATGCCAAAATATGTTTTTATTTAATTATATTTCCCTTTTGTAACATTATATTTTGATTATAATATTTTATGATTATGATATTTTAAATTTTTTATGATTATATTTTAAATGAATATTATTCAACCATTAGACGTATTAATGAACTATTTATTATCAAATATTATCATATATGCAACATATTATATAATTTCCAATAGATATGTCGCTTTTGCACCGATTTTCTTGAAACTTCATTTTCGTGCGTTTTACAAAAACTTTTTTTGTTTTAAATGTAGGAACAATTTCAGTAAAAATATGATATTATCTGATAGGAGGTACTTCCAACTACATGTATATATATGTACATTTATATTTTGAGCTTTACATTAAGATATAACTTCTAAAAACAAAGTAGTATGTCGCTTTTGGTGCCTTTATTCTATTTTTCTTCTCTTTATATGTTGTATGCACCACTAAAAATATGACAACTAGCTAAATATATAACTACTTTAATGCACTTGTAACTTCACCAGAAAAGAGTGCCCAAACCGTATTGCAAAGGAGTATATATGTTTCATTTTTTATGATGGTGTTAAGGTGTGTAATAACGATATCGTGTCTCGTTTGATTGCAGCGACAGCGGCGTGGCCGCGACGGGAGGAGCCCTGTCCGATACCAGGAGATTTTTGCATGAACGGTGGTACCTGCCTATTTTTCGAGACCGTCGGTGAACCGGCATGCAGGTGAGTAGACGTGCGCACGAATATTTTATTCATAGTAACACGAGGATGCCTGAATTTTGGACAGTCGTCTGTCAGTGTTAAATTCTCTTACCTGGAAAATATGAAGTACAAATAAAATTAGACATTCTTGAGATCGCTCCGTTAAACGCTTCTCGTAAAACCAATCAGTCGATAACTATTATTGCAGTCCCACTAATGGTATACTTTCTACGTTTATAACTTCATTAGTACTTCTATGTAATCTCTACCGAGATTAATCGTGGCGGTCTGTCGAAAATCGCGTGTATTCAGTGTTGGGAAGTAACGCATTAGTAACGCCGTTACTTTTTTTCAATAACGATCGTTACTTTATCCACCTCATAGCAAGGATTGGATTATATGTCTTTCGTGTAAAGAAAAGAAATTATTTCTGTTTTAAAATTTCAAGTGTTTTGTTAAGATTAGTGATATCTTATAATCAGATACAATAAACAATTAATTAAGAAGACAATTCTCATAAATTTTTTTAATATTAAATTTGAGTCATGGGACTTAATGTTACGCAGACCCAATGTTGTGACATGTACAACATAATATATCATTGCGTATGCTTCCGTACTCTCTCATAGGTTACGTTGCAAACTTGCAACGCATAAAAACTAATCGCACTTAATTCGAATCAACTTAACGCAAACGGTTATCTGGAATAAAAGAGATTATATTTATAAATTTTGTTGCAGTAACTGTTAACGAAATGCAATAAAAATTAGCTAAATCCATAATATTTCCTGCAACTAAAGAGAAACTGCAACCAGAAATTTTAAAATTAACGAAAGAACAAAACTAACGATGAGAAAAAATTTTACTAAGTCCAATTTTGAAAAAAGTTTGTAAATATCATATGCGATGTTTCTATCATAAGCTATTTCGTATACTGAACTAACATGATAAATTTTGTTGCAGTAACTATTAACGAAATGCAATAAAAATTAGCTAAATCCATAATATTTTCTGCAACTAAAGAAAGACTGCAACCAGAAATTTTAAAACTAACGAAAGAACAAAACTAACGATGAGAAAAAATTTTACTAAGTCCAATTTTGAAAAAAGTTTGTAAATATCATATGCGATGTTTCTATCATAAGCTATTTCGTATACTGAACTAACATGATAAATTTTGTTGCAGTAACTATTAACGAAATGCAATAAAAATTAGCTAAATCCATAATATTTTCTGCAACTAAAGAGAGACTGCAACCAGAAATTTTAAAACTAACGAAAGAACAAAATTAACGATGAGAAAAAATTTTACTGAGTCCAATTCTGAAAAAAGTTTGTAAATATCATATGCGATGTTTCTATCATAAGCTATTTCGTATACTGAACTAACATGGTAAATTTTATTGCAGTAACTATTAACGAAATGCAATAAAAATTAGCTAAATCCATAATATTTCCTGCAACTAAAGAGAGACTGCAACCAGAAATTTTAAACTAACGGAAGAACAAAACTAACGATGAGAAAAAATTTTACTGAGTCCAATTTTGAAAAAAGTTTGTAAATATCATATGCGATGTTTCTATCATAAGCTATTTCGTATACTGAACTAACATGATACAAGCAGGCTATACTATAGAGGAGAACATGCTCCTCTATTTATTATGTGAGATATGAGCTTTGTGACAACCGACTCATATGATTTCTAGACCTGGTCCCGCCTATCCTTTAATTTAGAGCGATTGGGAATCATTTCTCTCTTTTTCGCCCTTTTTCCCGCTCGCTCTTTCTCACTCGACGAGCACTCGAAGCTCAACTTTATTGAGAGATCGAGGAAACCGTGGGTTCTCGTAATTATCGAGAAGTTGGGAAGGTTGTGGTGCCAACTTCAGCAGCGTATGTACGATTGCTAGGAGAGAGATAGATATACAGGCTGTTCTAGGATAAACTGACCGAATCGCGATAAGAGTATCCTCGAACCCAATTAGAAATTGAACTTTTGCTCGAGAAGATTATCGAGGTTTTAGATAACAAAATAAATAGCTCGTCAGCCAAACACGTCTAGAAAATTATAACAAGGCCACGCTTTGGGATTAATTTCGAACAGATGTCGCTTCAGCGGAATATTAAATTCTTGGCACTTAATTCAAAAAGAGATGTATATTAATCTCCTGGGAGTCGGTAAAAATCGAGATCTTCAGCGTTATCGCCGAGGGAGGAACCAGCTTTGACCGCCAGTGAACCGAGAATCCGTCGTTAAAATTTGACCCGCTCATTGTGGGACACTCTGTAGAGAGAGAGTGCAAACGAAACGAGAGAACGTTTTGCCCACGTCTCTCGCCCGCAAGCGCACGAGAAAGCGAACCCGCGTTTCTTGTTACTCTCCTTTGTGCGACCACCGACGAGTTAGCGGCTACCGACCGCGAGGTTGGACGGGGTTTCACGAAATGTTTGCTGTCGATTGCTCCGGGAGGTCGAGGTTCGATAGTCAACGGGAAACGCGCAGAGTCCGCCCTGCCACCTTCTATCTCTTCTCGGTACACACACCGAGAGCAGGGGTGAAAGGGAGCCATCTCTTCGTTTTTCACGGACACTTCTTCCCTATTTCCTCCTGGACGCTTCTTATCCCCCTGCCCCCTCGCCTCCTCGCCGTGCGATACCTCTCTCTCTTTCAAGAATAGATACTCTCTATAGATTCTTCTCTCCATCGTCCTTGCCCTCATTCTTCCCTCAAGTATCTACCCCGGCCGGCGCCTCGGCTCTTTCCTCTTTTTCTTCCCCTTTCATTTCCCCCTTTTCCCTTCTTTGTTTTTTCCATTCACTTTGCCATCCACAGAATTCTTTGCGTCCCTATTTTCCTAAATTTCCCCGTCCGGTCTGTCCCCATTTACCTTCCATTTAATCCGCACTCTTATTACTCCGGAGTGTCTTTCATTTTTAACTTCGCTACGAGCTGTTTCGCATTCCATGCTCCCCTCGTCCCGCTCGTTTTCATTGTTAAAGAGCCTAATAACCGATACCCCTCCCTTCTTTTATTTGCGCGCCGGCGGACGGTTAATATCTTCCGCAGTTATATATTTTGCGCGACGAGAGGAGGGAGAGGGCGGCGGCGCCGATATTTTCTGTAAACGCAATCTCGCGCGTCGGGGAGCGTTCGAGCGCGGCCAGCACTCGAGAGCTCGGCAGCCAGCAATTTTACCCTTTTAAGATCGGACTATCGACTTTCGCGATCGCGTCGACTTCGAGATATTACGGCCGTGCCTCGGCGAATTTTCCGAAACGATTCGAACCTTACTTCCGCTGTCGCCTTTTTCCCTCGCGCGAGCGGCGTGTGCTTCCGAAAATTAAATTTCTTGACGACCCCCCCTTCCGTCCCGTGTATCAAATTGATCAGCACTGCCGCGCGGCCGAGTATCCATTTAATTAAAAAAGTTCACTCGCGAAATGTTCCCGGCCGGCCAGACGGAGGGACGGACGTACTTTCCCCTCTCCCTCAAGCCGGTCAAGCAATACTCGCGGCCGTTCTCGTTTATGCAACGTGCACGCGAGTGTCGCTTTGTCAGAAATTTCGAACGCGCGCGCGACGCGCGATGATGCATTCGGCAGGCTCGTCGTTCGGGTTTTACGACGTTAAACTGGGTCAGCTAACTAGGCGAATGGGACACACATTACGCTTTCCTCTATAACCCCGCACCCGAGAGTTACGCAACTGCATTTCCGAGTGCAAAAAGTCACGGAGAATATGAGATAACGATGATAAATAACGGAGGCGCCAAGTAACGCGGACTGGCATTGCTTTCGCGTCTCACGCTCGCCGCCGTTCGACGTTCGAATAATATCCCGCTGATCAGGCCTTAAATTAAAATTCCGCGAAAGTGAAGTCCACTCGAAATTACACGAAGGATAAGACTTCGTTAGCCTCCCACGCTCCTGAAACTTGCTCCAACTTGGTGCTCTCGGTACTGATTTCAACTTTTCCCCTCTCTCTCTCTCTCTCTCTTACTTTTTCTGTTTTATTTCTCTCAGGATCCCTTGATCCTTTAATTTTATCATGCTCCGCGGCAAATCCATGCCGACGGAATACGGAAAGAGACGAAGCTCACGGACCGGAGGGCTGTAAGGTGCGGTATCTCATCGCGGCACTGCCTAAACGTTACAAGCCGGCGCCGCGGACGAAGCATCCAGTTTATCGCGGCTGTGTTTTATCGCGCGACGCCGTCAATCTCCTGGACTACTTCCGGCGAGTCGCGGAGCCAGAGAGAAAACGAGAGAGCGAAACAGACAGACAGAAACGGAGAGAGAGAGAGAGAGAGAGAGAGAGAGACAGGGGACAAGCAAATGTAAACTTTTTCGCGCTGACGACGCTCGTAAATCTCACCCCCGAAGGCAACTTCCATCCCTCTCGGCCCTGCGCACCACCCACCACCTGTAGTAGGAGCCCCGTTTCTCGTTTGTTTCTGTTAGCCGGCCCCCTCGACTTGTTAACTTTACGTTCTTACCACTTACGGCTAAATTGCCGTATAAAATATGTGCCGTGACGACACACCGGCAGCCCCTGTGCATACCGCCGGGCCCCGGCAGTCAGTCTTCTCGTTCTGGTGCCTTCTTTCCCCCAGCCCTCGCGGGTAATTAAGGGCGGCCGGGTTACACTGTCGGCCGCCAGGACGATTAAGTCGCGCCGAGTTGTCGCGCGGCGTATTAACGCCAATGACCAAGGAGAGATTTAATAGCACAATACCCGTCCGGCGACACGTCGCGACGGTAACCGCAAATCGCTCGGGGCGATTGCAATTTTTAGCCAGAGCTCGCGGAGCGATCAGATATTCCTGGCGCGATCATGCAAACTCGCACGTCAAAAAATACCAAGAGAGAGAGAGAGAGAGAGAGAGAGGGGGGAGATGAGAGGGGAAGAAAGAAGAGAGAAGAACATTGCAAATGCACGTAATCCGCATATTCAGCGATACGGTACACGTACCGCGCGCATGTACACGCCGCTCCGACGGCGCTGTTCGAATTGCATAGG